AATCGTTACAAAAAAATGATGAGATAAATCTTTTAGTCGAAAAATAAAATTTTATGAAATAATATAAATGAATTATGTTATACCTGTAGTTGTCTGAGATAATTGTTGAATAAATAATGATTCTCTTTTTTGATCATTGAATAATAATTTCGGATTAGTTTTCTTCAATAAATCAATAAGATCAATTAATTTAAATCTTGAATTAAGTAAGGATTCAAGAGCATCATCTGAAACATCAAGTCCTTTTAACATTTTATCATTTTTACATTTTTCTTGTTGATTATTTTTATTTTCAAATGATATATTTGATACACTATGTCGATGTTGCTCTTTATGATGTTTTCGAGATGAACGTCGCATTTCAACTTCATTTTCTGTTGTTAAACTTATATTATGATCATTATCTTTATTTTTATTTATATTATAATTAGCAATTCGATGAATATTATCATCATTATCATCATTATCATCATCATCATCATCATCAGTTGATTTTTCATCATTTAATAATTGTTTATATTGATTTGATGATAATGGTGGAATAAAATGTTGAATATGAAGACGAACTTGATTTGTTACGGCTGCTGAACGAAGAATATTAATAGCTTGTTTACGATTAATACCTATAGCTGTTTCATTATTTATTGATAGAATTTGATCACCAACCTATATAAATATATATATATATATACATATAAAAAATACATATTATATTTAAATTAATCTATTTTAAATAAATATACTTTTAATCGTCCATCTCTTTGTGCTAATCCATCATTAAGTAATTCTCTTATAAAAATACCTGATTTATTTTTAGCTCTTTTAGCACCTAAAATTCGTATTCCAAGTCCATTACGACTGTTCGTATAAACAATGATTTCGTCTGTTTTTATCATTAGTATTTGATTACCAATAAAGATGGTAACAATGAGTGAAAATAAATGACATTGTGCTTCAAATATACAATGCTAATTTCAACCTTGAATGCATCCATATAACTGAACAAGTAGAAAGAGAGAGAGAGAGAGAGAGAGAAAGAGAGAGAAAGTGAATGAAAGTAGGTGTTGAATTGAAAATCAATTATTCATAGAGTTATTGAAATTTTTATAGGATATAAAAAGATGCAATCATATTCATTCTAGATTACTCACTCACTCATTCACTCACTCACTCACTCACTCACTCTCAGTCAGTCGATTTAAATATAATTCTATAACAGTGAGTGACATCTCTTTATTTATATTGTCTCACATTTTAAATAAATATTAAAATAATTTAATTATTGAAGAAAAAAAAAAGAGAATCAACTTCTTTATAGCTTTTTCATCGTGATTAAACTCATTATAATTATTTTACAATTATTTTTTCAATGATGAAGACTAATTGAAAAACAATGATAATACGTGACTCTTTAATTTCATTTTGACATATTCATGAAGACACTCTTTAGGATATATTTTAATATCTAAAATTTAATATGACGATGTGAGATTGACATTACTCATTTCTTTTACTTATATTCAACTTTGAAAATTGATTAAACGCAATATATTGAATTTATAGTAAATAAAAGTTGAAAGGTTTCCAAGATAAATAAGCACGATTGTAGACGACCGTTTTAAATGTTTTTTTTTCGTTGTTTGTTAGACGCAGTATTACAAATGCATTTCACCATATGGTAAATGGTTAGATACTCGATTTTCAGACCTTTTGACGATTGTTATTAATTATGTACGAGGCAATGTAAAATGATTGTAGTGCTGCGCGTATCAAACATAAATTTTCAGCTAGTTTACAACGACAAACTGTATGAAACGACAGTATACAGTTCTATTGTTGGCCGTCTCAATGACTTCAATCATCGTTCTGGGTAGTTGAGCATATAATATAATTAGTTTCGACGAAAACTAACATTCTTTCATTCTCTTCCTTATTGACAATTGATCATTTTAAAAGAATACTATTTTGTGTATAAATAGAACAATCTATCTTTTTGAAAAATCCTTGCCCTTTTTAAGTGATTCATTTTCTTCACGACAGTATGCTTTCGTAAGGTTTTTTCATATATAATTTACAATAAATTATATGGTTCAATAATTAATGTCAAACTCTATACAAAAGCTAAAATTGTTCTACACAAAATTTATAAATAGATTTTATTGATATTCGTTTATCAATGAAGTCTTTCATATTTATTTTCAATGTAGAGACTAAGATATTATATAAAATTGACTTTGATAATTGACAAGTTTATTTTATATTTCAATAAAGAAAATGATAAAAACTAGAATAGACAATTTTCTTTTCAAAATTTAGAGACAAACGAAATGGAATGAACAAAAGAGGTCACTAGATGATTAAAAACAAAATACATTATTTAAATAATAAAAATGATTGGTGGAAATTAGATGGAACATGAGTTAATAGGGATGAGTCATCATTGGTATAAAGCAAATTTGTTGTAACGCACCCACTTCACACACCACATATATATGTGAGAACCTCCCTATTACGCACTTGTTTGAGCTTACTCTCATAGCATTCTTTTGTTCGTCTCATTTTTCTTGTTTATATTGTAGTTTGAGATTCCATCTGATATATTTATAAAATCATGTCTAATACTATTGTACGTATATAAAGAGATTTTATTGATTTTGTACTTTGAACTTGTCAGTATATTGAGTTTTGTGTTGATAGGATAAACTTAAACGTAAGAAAAAAGAAAAACAAGCAGCAATTAATTCTAATATTCCATCAACGGATGTTGGAGTTATTCGAATTGGTCATTATATTCTTAATGAAACACTTGGAACTGGAAGTTTTGGCAAAGTAAAAAGTATATTTTATATTTATTAATTAATTAATATTAATAATAAATAATAATAAAATATATTTATTTAAATAGAAGCATATCATCAATTGACAAGACATACAGTAGCTATTAAAATTGTTAATCGGACGAAAATAAAACAATTAGATGTTGTTGGAAAAATTCGAAGAGAAATTCAAAATTTAAGACTTTTTCGACATCCACATATTATTAAATTGTAAGAAACAAAAAAAAAAAAAAACAGAATAATTATTTTTAAAAAAACCAAATATTATTATTATTATTATTTAAATAAGATATCAAGTAATAAGTACACCAACAGATATATTTATGGTTATGGAATATGTATCTGGAGGAGAATTATTTGATTATATTGTTAAAAAAGGAAAAGTATGTTTTAGAATTTAAATAAAATATTAAATAATTATTATTATATCAAATATTAGTTAAGTGAAGCTGAAGCTCGACCTTTTTTTCAACAGATAATATCAGGTGTTGATTATTGTCATCGACATATGGTTGTATGTATCAGAGTTTATTGGAGTTTTTTTTTTTTTTTTAAAGTTTTTTGTCCTCTTTGGGTGATCGTGAGTTCGAGTGAAATTTTTTTTGTTGAGGAGTGGTGCGNAAAAAGCCATGGTGCAAATATTAATAATGGTGGACCATCAAAATATAAATCTCCATGTAAAGTATCTTTTGATAGAATATGAATCTAAAAACAAAGTGATAAAAAAAAAAAAAATTTTTTTTTTTTGTTTTTGTTTAGCTCGAAAAGTTGAAATAGCTGATTTTTTTGCAGCATCAAGTCCACCACATTCATCATTTATATCATCAATGCCAGTAAATTGAATATGTTTGTTTTATTTAATAAATAAAAGAAAATAAATATTTAGACAAATCCAACATCAGCTCGTTCTCCATCACCATTTGTAAGTTTAATTATAATTCATTTAGAATTATTTTTTTTTATTTTAATACGAAATAAATTAGTTTCAAAAACCAGTTTATCTTACACAGGTTGTACATCTTATTATCATTTATCAAGATTATCTTTCTTATTGTTTATGCTGCTTTTAAAAACAATTTTTTTTTTTTTTTTAAAAACTTTTTACTAATATTTAATGTTGTTTTGTTTTTCATTTTTCAATAGAAATCAGCACCAGTTCGTCCTCATCCAGAAAAAATGCCAGGTTTAGTTATTTTTGATTTAAAAAAAACTATTTTAAAAGAAGAAAAAAAAATTTTTTTATTTATCAGCTTTAAAAGATCTAAGTGTAACGTTAGATCCAATTGATGCATATTATTCATCATCAACAAGTACAACTAGTTCTCAACAAAATTCTTCTAATAATAGAAAATTATCAGGTTCAACAACATCATCATCATCATCAACAACAACAACGACTGCAACAACAGGTGCTGCATCGTTAAAAAAAGCTAAATGGCATTTAGGAATACGATCTCAATCAAAACCACAAGATATTATGAATGAAGTTTTTAAAGCGATGAAAGAATTAGGAATGGTTAGTTTTATTTTATTTTTTGTTTAAAAGATTTTTTTTCTAAAAATTTTTTTTTAAATCTAGGAATGGAAATATTGTAATAATAGTATGTATAGTCTTCGAACTCGTCGAAAAGTAACCAATACAAATCGATATGTAAGTTATGAGAAATAAAAACAATAAAAATTGCACTGGCCGGGAATCGGACCCGGGTCGCCCGCGTGGCAGGCGAGCATTCTACCACTGAACCACCAGTGCTTAATAATCATTTTTATTTATAATAAAAATGAATTTTTTTAAAATTCTTTTAGGTTAAATTGGGTCTTCAATTATATCAAGTTGATCATCGATCTTATTTACTTGATTTTCGTAATTTAAATACAAATACTGATCCTCATCAAAATCCATCATTTAGTATTTAACATTCATTTTTCTTCTTATAATATAAATCATAGTTTTATTTTTTTCTTTTTTATTTTCTAAGGACTTCCTGATGATGATGATATGGAAAATGTTCAACCAAATCGTTCATCAAGTTGGGATTTTACAGATAATGAAAATGAAGCTACAACTGACGATGGGGTATCAGAAGTAATGGAATTTTTTGAAACAGCTGCCAGTCTTATTCGTACATTAGCGCCTGATTCGGCTCCAAAACCAACTCATGCAGTCCCTACGACATCTTCCTAAATGACAATACTTCTTTATCTTTTCTTTTTTTTTTTTTTTCCTAAATGTCTCTGTACATATTTACCTTCTTTCTTTTCTTTTTAATAGTCTTTTTTTGTAGTCGTTCTCTGGCTCTGTTTCTCTCTCTTCATCTATTTTTCTTATCTTTATTCATTAATCTTCGAGATACAACAACATACATCATTACCTCCCGAAAAACCAAATAAAATAGTGATTTGAGAAGAGTCTATCACTATTATTCATTTTACTCTTTTTTGTTCACATAGGGAATCTTCAACTAAAACATTACAAGAAAAAAAAAATCATTTATTCGTACGTGATGTTTTATTTAAGGAAAACAAATGTGAAATGAAAATCTTTCATGATCGATGATTGAAACAATCAAAAAACGATTCTATAATAACAATTATGATGGTCAACATGCAGGTAAACGAAAAAAATGATAATTCTATACGAACCATGAAATTAATTTTTCAATAGGTAAAATATTACGCTTTTATCTTACCATCTCGTATACAATTAACTATCAATACAGTTTACAATGGCATCTGTGCCGTAAAATAATCCTAAATAAACGCTACTATCCTAAATAAAGACTTCCTTGTTTACTTTTATATCTTTCTCGTACATCAATACTCTTCTGAATACAATCCTATATATACACTTATATATCTATCATTGTACACTTATGCTATTATACATATCATCTTATATTTATAATCTTGTGAAGAGATTTTTATATATTTAGTCGTATATCTATATCATTATCTTTATACTCGTAAAATTATATCCATTATACATATACTCATGCTCTGTATAGTCTTGCAACTATATCTTTATACCTATACAATTTACTTTTATGTCTGTACTCTTATACATATATATATATATATTTATAAACGTATTTTTATGCATATTCTCTTTTATTTCTAAGTGTATGGCAATATCCTTAAATATATATCTGTCATCTATGACCAAAAACTTACACTCCTATGACTATATACATATACGTATAATGCTATGTTTATACGCGATAACACGTTTGTTAGATACAATGTGGAACGATATATGTCAGAGTAAAAATCGAATAACTTGGTTAAGTCTATTTCTTGTATTATTTTCTATTGAATTAGACTGACCGTTGATGTTAACAAATCATTCCGATAGAGGCCGGTGATTCCAAGAGATACTCAGAACTGGAAGCAACGGTTTAATTTCGATTCTGGTTAGTAATAACAAAAAGTTTCAATTTAAATTACTGAAAACTATTTGTGAAAGCAATTATCTAACTAATAATAGTAAAGCAAATACCTAATATAAGAATTTTTTCTAGAAATTTTTAAGTTACTTCAGAGAATCCAAAAGTAGTGTCGCCATTATTTTATATCTGTATAGAAAGCTTTAAAGAACTTTCTCTCTATATATATTCTGAGAGAGAGATAAAAGAATGCCCTATTTTTTTTTAAATACTATTTGATTCTACTTCAACAAATATCATAATAATAATAAACTTTCGATAAAGTTTGTTTCTCTATGATATGCGTTGGTATTACTAGTGCCTATTTAGTGGATATTTTTTTGAATAACTTCTGATAGAAACAAGATAGAAAACTGCAATTTTCATGTCTTGAAAGAAGAAATGAAGATGCGTCGGATAATATATATATTATAGATTTTTTTAACATAACTTTTTTTAAAGATTTTCATTTAATCTCTTTGAAAACAAAGGTACTCGTGAGGTGTTTACAATGATTTCTAAATTATCAGGTGTGTATAGAAACCGCCAATGGAAGATCTAAAAAATTGTACAAAATTCAGAGATTTAGAATTAATTATTGAGAATTTGTAGACATTCTAGTTGAAGTTTCAAGTGATTTTTCTGACAATTTCCATTGAAGAATTTTTTTCTATTTCCTTTTTGATAAGAAACCATTTTTCTCCCACTTAAAAAACTAATTAAATAAACATCAGACCATACACTATGAAAACTTATAATATATGATTCAATGTATTTTTATCTTCTCTTTGAAACGATGAAAAGTGCAGTTCTCTATCTTATTTCTATCAAAAGTTATTCAAAAAATATGAAATAAACACTAGTGCTACCAGTATGTATGATAGAAAAGCAAGTCTTTTCGAAATTTTATTATTATGAAATTAGTTGAAGTACGATAAAATAGCATAGAAAAATAGAATAGACCTTGCAGTGGTTTGACTTTCCTGATTCTTTCCTGAATTTTCACGATTTATTCCTATAGGATTATATTTAAATGATGATAATGCATTCTTTTATTATGGTCAATGTATTTTTCGATCTACATTTAAAAATATTTATAGAATATCTTAAACAAAAAAAAGAAACAATGTTCAAACAATATTTATTTCAGTCACTCATCTTTTAATGTTTTTTTGTAATTGGTTTATATTTTCACCATTTTCAAACAATCAGCTTTTCAAAGTAATTAGGGTAACATTAGTAACCAGAATACCCTGTACCTAAAAACGAGGTGAGAACAGCGATAGTCACAAAATAGTGGTGTAATCAGCCGCCACCTTCAAGTCTTTTCGACCAGCACCGCGGCTGCGTCTAACGACATGTAGAAAATTTTTCTTTAATCTTTTTCATTTTTGTTGTGCTAGAATATTTCTTGATGATAGTGTTTCATTTCCCAATAGTTACATAGAAACAGCAATGATAGAGTTGAAAATACTACGAATAATAAACATTTATTTAGATGAGATTTAGACAGATATGATTCATGTCACATAATCAATGAATTATTTTTGTTCTGTTTTTTTTTAGAACAGCGAAAAGTTTCTAACAAAATCATTCTTACAGAGAAAAGATAAAATTTAGTATTTTGCATGAATATAAAGTCCATGGACCAAAAGATATTGTTTTGATATAAAAATAAACAAAAGAAAAGGAGGTACAAAAAGCAATACTGTTTCTATGTACAATAAAACAGGTTCTAATAGTTAAATTTGAATACTTTTATTAATCGATGTGTCAGGAGAAAAACGTTTATCTGTGAATGAAAACGTTGTACAAGACTATGTTGTATAAAGTAAGTATTTAGGTTGAAAAAGTTGAATTCATAAAAAAAATTCTTTTGAATGGTTAAAGAATAACTCTAATAAGGAAGAAAAAAAAACAAATCATCTCATCGACTGATACAACGATTTTTAGTTAAGATAGAAGATATATACCGTGTCACAGTGGGGAGCTTTCACATAAGCAGGTGGACATACGGCTTTTTTGCTTAGGAATGGCTTTAATTTGACTAGAAATGATAGTATACCGCTCAGAAAACCGTTTTTAAGAAAAATAAAAGGTTTTTAAAAAAAAAGTTTTTTCGGAAAAAGCTGGGGAGAACCTCAGCCTTTTTTTTCGAAAAATTTTCTTTTTGAAAAATATGTAGTGCTACGTATCATTCGAAGTAGTTTAATGCGCTGATTTCGAATATCACCTTCTTGTTTCTTCAAACTGTAATATGAATGACTAAAACTGAATTTTTCGACCAAAAACCTATGAGCAGTCGTTTTCCGCCAAATTCTATCAAAAATTGACTTGCACAAAAATGATGTTTTTCATATATAGTCCAGTGCAGTTTGACGAGTTGATTTCGAATATCATCTTAGTTTTTCGTAAAAACATAATATGGACGTCTAAAACCGGATCTCCTACCGAAAACCGTGGGTTTTTGGGAATCCTGCAGAATAGCCTAGGGAAAATTTCACGAGTTGACGCTACTACCATAGTTAAGATACATATCCAGGAGTACTTGATAAAAATTTCAGCTCGATCGAACTTTACCCTTTTGTAGGGTTTTCAAAATCCGAAACGTCAGGGTTTCGGGCCTGGATCTGCTTTGAAAACGGGTAAAAAGTTGTTTTAAAAAGTATTGTACATATATGGTTCGATGAAGTTCGGCTAGCTGATTCCGAATATCACCTTAATTTTCCTTCAAAGTCTAATACAGATGTGTAAAATCGAATTTTCGCCTAGAGATTTCGGATTTTTGGACACCATCTAAAATAGCCTAGGACAGGTTTCATGAACTGACGCTATTACCATAGTTAGAATACATATCCAGGAATATCTAGTAAAAATATGCACTCGATCAGACATGATCCCTTCGTAGGGTTTTTAACATACGAAACGGTAGGTTTTCGAGTAGGATTTCGACATAGGGATTTCGAGTTTTCTAATCTATTTTAAATTTGATTACGATCATTTTTTTTCACCGTTAAGTTCATAGGTGAGCAAGTTTTTTGCGATATTGTTTGCTTCTAGAATATTGTGTTATAATACTCTGCGGCTTGACTTTCTTGATTTATGCGGATTTCTGGGTCCAAGCCTTGACAGCCTTTTTTCTTGGGCTCTATAAAACTTTGAGAGCCGCTATTTTAGAAAATAATAGATCACATATGTATGTATCTATGAAAAACAGTTAGATTCTGGAAAAGAATATTTTCCCATATGTCCGCCTGGCTCCCCATTGTGCGTGTGTTGAATAGAATATTAGATGAAAGCATTTGTTAGAAGAACTATATCAAAGTTTACATTGAACAGAAAATAAAAAGTTAATAATTTTATAGATCATCAGTACAGAATAAATTAAAAAATGGATATTAATGAGAATCTTATTTTCTAGTGTATTTACTTTCATATTGATAAACTTCGAAATAAACAAAATTCCCAATTCATTTTATTTACTAATACAGAATGAAAATCATGTTCACAGATGCATCCAACCGAAAAAAGTTTTTTAATTCAACAAAGTCGACCGAAAGATGGAAAACATTGAAAAAAGGTTACAGACTGCAATACTGATTTTTATGCCACTTTTGATTTCATTGTTTTGCATATAAAAAGGCAATGTTTTCTGGCAAAAAGATCGATGTTCATTTAGCAAAGAAAAATTTGTCTCTATTTTTCTATTTAAAAAAGATTTTGCTCGAATTTTTGAAATTCTCATAAAGTCAGAACAATGTTA